TCAGCCTTTTCAATCTTCCCCTCCTCCTTAAGATTTTCATTCTATTTTTTCTGTTATAACTTTTCCTAGGCTCGTTTTTTTTGTTTGTTTTATTCCTAGTTTATTTCTTAACTTTATTGTCTTTACTGAAATCTTTTATTCGTTTTCAATCTTTGAGTGGATTCTATTTATTTTGTTGGGCGAAACATTATTCTACATAGTTTTCTTTTTCTTTTATTTATTATTTTAAACCCCACGGGGGTAATTCTTAATTGTTTTACCAAACTTTAATTTTATATTAATTTTACGAACTTTATTTTTCTTTCTATCAATTTAAACCAAACTTTTTTTTTGCTTTTCTGCGCAAACCAGTTTCTTAGTTTGAATTTTGTATTATTTCTTATTCTTATTTTTTCTTTATTTTAAACCTTTCGGGGGTAATTCTTGGCAGTTTCCCAAAACTTTATTTTTAATTTATTTTTACAAACTTTATTTTCTTCAATTTAAGCCCAACTTTTTTTTTGCTTTCCTGGTTAAACCAGTTTCTTTATTGTATTTTATAATTTTGTATTGTTTATTTTTTCACAACGCTTTTAGTTTTATTTTTGTTTTATTGAATCTTCTTTGTGTGGAAAAAGTGTATTTATATTTTTTGGTGGATTTTTTTCTTTTTCCCCATCCCTTACTTCTATTTTTACCACAAGAAAAGAGCCAATATGTTCACATGTTAGAAAAGGCCTTTTTGGATCTTCATCTAAAGCAGATCCTCCGGATAAATGTGACTCAACGGATTGCCCAGCTTCTAAAAAGAGCAACAATGGCAAGAATAAAATAGCATGGAGGTCAATAATGACCATAATATGTGCAAAGGAAAAAGTATGGGCCGTTTCATACGAACAAAAATTCTACTGACAAAAAGAACGACAATGCTGAGGCCGGGGAAATCGACGTAATGTTGACCCCCCGCCCCGAATGCATTTTTAATATTGCGGAGATTTGGAGCCAAGAGTTACACACACCTTATAAAAGAAGTTGGAATCTTGGAAGACCCCTAGAACTAAAGAAAGTTGAAAGAAGATTTGTGTCTGTCTTCATGCTGTACAAGCGCACGCGCAAAATTTCTCGCTCCACGAAAGACACAGTGGTAAAATCACTGGAGACTTTGGGGTTAAGTCACAGAGAATAATTAAAGTGTCGGGTTTCTTCACGTGAGACATATTTCTGCCCATGCCTGAAGAATGCATAAAATCAGCCAGTCGTGAACTCATCACAAAAGAATTTCTCTAAAGTGCCTAGTACGAAGGCAGGCGTAGAACTCCCACCTCTGTAGCGTTATTCGAGGTCCCTCCTCGTGTTATCGGGGAGATTCTTGTTGCATACCTATAGCAATACGTCCAGATATTGGGTGCGACCTGCAATAACTTGACTGGGAGGATGTAATTTCAATATCAAAATGAAAATGCTCATTGTGACCGACCATAAACCAATATGTTGGAAGTGTGGAGAGACCAGTCACTTCTTCTCTTACTGCCCAGATGAGAAGGCCTCTGGAATTCAGGACCAAACTCCTCATCTAGCCGTATCTGTTATTTCTGTCTCGCCTGTGATGAGCATGCCAGAGACCGAGATCGGAGTGGGCAAACCCCCGGTTGGGTCTCGTTCCCCGAAAATCCTGTGCCCACCGCTTCTACGGTTGTGGAGAAGGAAAAGGGAGAATGGCTGGTTGCTGGTAGGGTCAGAAGGACGTGCCAGAAAGCTGGATCTCAGTCCCCTGAAGCTTCCAAGACCGAAGGTATGGATAAGCCCGACTCCCTCTACTAGCGTTAAAGGCAACGCTTCGGATTCACAAAGCATTCCATTTCAAGAATTGCAAAAGAAATATGATCCTGGTTATGAAAAAACTGAGAAGATAAAGCTTCTCAAACCTCCGTTGGAGCTAAACAAAATAAAAAAAAAATCACCACCAAAAAAGTCAGCAGGCTTCCCGACCTCTACCCCGCCCATTTTCTGTGTATTCATCACAAAACTTTAATCTATGCACTCATCCACTTGTAAAAAAGCGCATCCCGCCCAGTAGAGATCGCTGTTCCTTCAGAAAAAGCATATTTCAAACCCCATGTCCTACTCTCAATTCTTCTCCCCCCCCAAAAAAAAAACACCATGAAAACAAAGAGACTCTCTGTAGAGACAAAAGAAAAAAAAGGAAAAAACAAATAGCAAAGTTCCGTATAATTTACATGAGGACGTATGCCGTATTTTCTGGGCCCAGACTGAAAGTGCTAAAATCTACGCGAACCGGATAAAGAAAGTGAAATACTTATTAGAAAAATACGTAGAAAACCCCCAAAACTTTCCGGGTGCAAAACCTATTTTCAGTCATTCTAACTGGGTCAGGAGCACAACAGACATAGCCGAAGAGACCATCAACTCATACGAAATCTCACCTCTAGTTGCCATCATCGAAAACGGTGAAATTAATAAACTGAAACACTCCTATTCAAGGAAGGTCCCAGTTTTAGTTCACCCCTTCCTCTATAGGTCTTTCAAACTGACATATCTCTGGGACACTGGCGGTTTCTTCCAAGACAGTACTATCAAGAATGAGATGGGCCAAATATCAACGGCAGAGGCTGTTAGCGTCATTTGCCTGGCCATGTTCAAACCAGATTCTCAATCCTAATCGGGCTGATAATGCTACTCTCGTTAGCGAGTTTGAATGCCAGGCCGAGGCTCGCTCACGATATTCAGCCTCTCGGGGTGGATGTATTTTGTTTGCAGGAGACCCGTTTTTCAAATGCCGACCGTAAAGACATTGGGTAAGAGGTGTACCCTCTATTCAGCATATTTTGATGGATGTTCGAGAGGTATTTCTTGGCTGGTGAGCATGTCTGTGAAAGTGGCGTGTGCTCTTGTCTTCGTAGATCAGGCTGCCAGGCTTTGCGTGCTGAATATTACGATAAAAAATAAGGCCCTTCGTCTCAGTGGAATTTATGCGCCCAATAACTATGCGGGGCGGCTTGATTTGTTTCGGCGGAGCGAACCGTTTTTGACGACTTCACTTCGGATAGATTTAGCGGGCGTTTGGAATGCCGCCATTGACCCAGATATAGATCGTATAAGAGAAAGGATCGGGTACTAACAACCCGGATGTGAAATCGTTTTGGAACATTATCGGCAAGTTTGATCTTGTGTATCGCAATGGTCACCCCCGGGAGGTAATGTGGACGAACTAAAAGGAACATATTGCCTTCGGTAGTGCGTTCTAACTACATCTACAAAAATTAATGATTTGTTTTTTTTTAAATTTCCCTAATAAATCATTTTTCCTCATTAGTTATCTGACATCGCCTGAAGAAGTACCATCTTAATACCGAAACATGAAAGTTTTTGTGTAGCGATGTAGAATGTAATTGTAATTTATTATAATATATATATATATATATATATATATATATATATATATATATATATATATAAACATGGTCTCACACACACGGACACACACACACACACACACACACGCATATATATTTATGCCTGTGTCTGTATAATTGTAGCACTGGCAAGCAAAAAAAAAAAGTTCTCAATATAAAGTAGAGCAAAATATTATTACAATATGTTTAACTTATTATAAAATGCAGGTTTAATGTGTGTGTGTGTGAGGAAATTATAATTCTCTGTGTGTGTGTGTCTGTCTGTGTGTCTGTTCGTTTATATATAGGATCGTATTTCCTACATTTTTCACCCGATTTCAACAAAACTTCACAGGACTACGTAGAATTACCCGGCGGTGGTTCTGACAGCGCCAAAATTGGAAAAAAACACAATTGTTTTCGCACGAAATCAATTTGAAAGCACGAGTAAGGGTATCGCACCCGGCCGGAAGTTACTGCCGGCTACTCAAACATCTGAAAACAGAACGAATGCCGGTGACTCAGCGTTTTTTTTTTTTTTTTTTCAGAGAACGTGGCACAAAAAGTAAAACAAATGTAACCTAAACATACACAAGTCCTCCTAACTAAAAACAATAACCGGAAACTACTTTAAATACACATCGTGTCCAAATGAAACCCATGTGTACAGTCAAAATGCGGAAGTTAATTTTTAGTCATCAAGCAAAAGAGATTGCCAACCGGCTACGATGCTAACTGCAGCCGATATAAATACAGCCGATTTCTTCCACCAAGCAACTTGGCAAAAATATTTTAAGTCAAGTGATAGCGATTGCTGTGTGAGTCGTACGATTTTTCAATCAAGCACGGGCAATGCCGGGCCATGCTGCTAGTTTTTATTATGATAAATTACAATAAAACCATTTTACATTGCTACTCAAAAATCTTCATGTTTCGGTACGAAGATGGCATCTCTTCAGGTGATGGTAGATAACTAATAATAAAACAATGATTTATTAGGGAAATTAAAAAACAAATCTTTATCTGTTTTCGTAAGTGAAAGTGGGTGCATAAGGTAAAGATTTGTTTTTTAAATTTCCCTAATAATTTATTTTTTATCATTTGTTATCTACCATTACCGGGAGAGTTTCCATTATAGTCCTGAAACATGAAAGCTTTTGTGTAGCGATATAAAATGTTTTTATTGTAATTTATTATAATAAAAATATTATAATAATTATATATATATATGTGTGTGTGTGAAAGGGATTACGAGGGTAGGAGAGAGAAATGTAAATGCAAGTGAAATGTTCATTTATTTGATTGCTAATTGATAAGAACTCTCAGCTGGCTCCCTTGTGTATCCAGATCAAGAATGAATATTAAACTTAGGCCAAATTAAATATGAATTTTAGATTTGAATTTCTGAAATATTCAAGCGAAAAATAGGCTTACTTGTAAGAAGCCTGAAACTTGGGAGTCTAAGTGAAAATCACACAATACACCCTCCCCTGAGAGAGAATTATTACCATCTAAAAGAGACGGCATATATGAAGTGGGTGCACAAGTAGGAATAGACTAATGAAGAACAATATATATATATATATATATATTCTTTACACATAAAAGGGAAAAGTCCAAATATCTATCTATCTATCTATCTATCTATCTAAGCATATCTATAAAAAGAATACCCGCTCGGCCCGGTGGCTAGGATCAAAGTGTAGTATCTGCGCTTTGTGAGCTGCCGAGCCGGTGTCGTCGAACTCTCTGCTTGCAGAGAGGAACCCTGACGAGGCTCTGCCGAAGGGTAGGGGTTTCGTTGGGGAGGTTGACGGAACTAGCCCGCTTGGACGGGTTTAGATGGGTTTTATTTTTGGCTGGGCCTACGGGCTCGGACATACCCACATTAAAAAGGCCTTGTGCCACATTCAATTCCTGTGGGTGAATTGATAAATACCATCTATCTAAGCATATTCCTATCTATCTATCTATCTATCTATCTATCTATCTATCTATCTATCTATCTCAGTTTGTCATACTGACAACAACTAGTTCTTGATAATATCTGCGAGTCAAAGTACTTGGACGAAACAGAAATAAATAGAAACCTTGGACTTTTTCATAATTTTGGTCACAATAGAGTGTTTGACAATTTAGATGTTTTTGAACGAATTTGGCGCCAGACATGGTATTTATATGAAAATGCCGAAGAGGCGAAGCTATATTTAGACTCCTATCTATCTATCTATCTTTCTATCTATCTATCTATCTATCAGTCTGTTCATATCTATTTATTAGTCTCTTCATATCTATCTATCTTAGTCTCTTCATATCTATCTATCTATCTATCTATCTATCTATCTATCTATCTATCAGTCTGTTCATATCTATCTATTAGCCTGTTCATATCTATCTATCTATCTAGTCTGTTTCTATCTATCTATCTATCTATCTATCTATCTATCTATCTATCTATCTATCTAGTCTGTTTTTATCTATCTATCTATCTATCTATCTATCTATCTATCTATATGTTCATATCTATCTATTAGCCTGTTCATATCTATCTATCTATCTATCTATCTATCTATCTATCTAGTCTGTTTCTATCTATCTATCTGTTCATTTCTATCTATTAGCCTGTTCATATCTATCTATCTATCTATCTATCTATTAGCCTGTTTCTATCTAGCTAGCTAGCTATCTATCAGTCTATCAGTGTGTTCATATCTATTTATTAGTCTCTTCATATCTATCTATCTATCTATCTATCTATCTATCTATCTATTAGCCTGTTTCTATCTATCTATTAGCCTGTTTCTATCTAGCTAGCTAGCTATCTATCAGCCTATCAGTCTGTTCATATCTATTTATTAGTCTCTTCATATCTATCTATCTATCTATCTATCTATCTATCTATCTATCTATCAGTCTATTCATATCTATCTATTAGCCTGTTCATATCTATCTATCTATCTAGTCTGTTTCTATCTATCTATCTATCTATCTATCTATCTATCTAGTCTGTTTTTATCTATCTATCTATTTATCTATCTATCTATCTATCTATCTATCTATCTATCTATCTATCAGTATGTTCATATCTATCTATTAGCCTGTTCATATCTATCTATCTATCTATCTATCTATTAGCCTGTTTCTATCTATCTATTAGCCTGTTTCTATCTATCTATCTATCTAGCTATCTATCAGTCTATCAGTCTGTTCATATCTATTTATTAGTCTCTTCATATCTATCTATCTATCTATCTATCTATCTATCTATCTATCTATCTATCTGTCATTGCTCGTCTCTCCTTCAGTCTCTCTCTCTCTCTCTTTATATTTCTTTACAGTTGCACATTCGGCAGTTGATGAAGTCTTCTCGTTTCTTGATACTACAGATGCTGATACCATATCGGTGAGTGATTCTGCAGATAGCGAAGTCCACTCTTTGTGTCACTCCGTGGACTGTGAAGCCCTACACAATATCACACAGGTGCATATATCTGAGAGCACAACTGATATACGTACCCGCTTGTATACAGAAGAGCATATCGGCAATTTAGAAACGACTTAGCATGAATACTTAATAGAATAATTATTCCCACAACATCTTTTTTGAAATAGTAATCGATATCGAATTTACGCCATAAATCTTTCTGGTCATGTTTAACGTAAGAACGTTGGGTGCCTATGCGTAAACTTGCCTCCATACAATGTAAGTTACCACGAGAAACATAATTTGCTTCCGTCAAAGCCTAAAATAGATGGAATTGTGTTTATAATATGATAAACAATTGAGGAATAAAGTTCGAATATTATGAACATGCAGGATGCTTTACTAATAACTTAATAATATATAAGATTTAAACCGGTGAGAGGATATATCAATGCGGTCAATAAAAACATGTGAATACGATCATTATTCTAACATCCATATCTTCTACATTGCCATTTGAAAGTTTCTGAAACCTTCCACTAGATATGGTCATTTTTATTGTGAAAAGAATTAAAATAAGCCTATACATTTCGAACCCAAACAGCCATTTGTAAAGTACACTTTCTAAATAATGAACAAGAAAAAGATATATTTTAATATCTATTTAATTTAAGTGCTATTGGTGATACACGGTCGGACGATCATGTCACTTTCAATTCATGACTGACTAGGCAGAAGATATTCCCGCAGTAGGCTGCCGTTTCTTTAAGCGATACACGATTTGGCGATCAATCACTTTCCATTCATGACTGACTAGTCAGAAGATATTCCCACAGTAGGTGCCGTTTCTTTATGTGATACACGATTGGGCGACCATGTCTCTTTCAATTCATGACTGACTAGGCAGAAAATATTCCCGCAGTAGGCTGCCGTTTCTTTCTGCGGTAGACTGAATGCTAGCCAAGGCTATAGGAGCCAGTTTGTCCTGCTATTTAACTGATAGCTGGGCTGGGAGTAAATTTCTTATTTCAATTATCTTACTACTAATTTCTCATTTTAATTACTTATTTAAAATGTGATTTATTTCACCAAAACTGAAGGTTTTACCTGTGATCCATGTGATGGGGTTTTCCTATATGTATATGTTTATTATTTCAAACGTTATTTGTAGTGTATGCCCGTTCCGCTTTCTTTTTCTTAACGGCCTTGATTTTGTCTTTCACGTTGCTTACTCAGTAAACATAATAAATAAAATGTTTTTCTGTTTAATCATGAGCCGTTCGATATATATATATATATATATATATATATATATATATATATATATATATATATATAACATTGAATATAAACCTTAGCATTGAAAAAGCAAAACAAATATCCACACACTCCGAGAAAAAAAAGAATAAAATATAATAGACATTCGTTGTCTGTTATATTTAATAATATATATATTGAATATATATATATATATATATATATATATATATATATATAGTAAAGTAATAAATCAGTTGGTATATAATCCAAGTGAATCCTAGTTATATAAAATATTAAAATTGTTTCATAAAAGAGCACAATAAAATCCCAAATTACCTCAAATAGGGAATAGGCTTATTTCAACAGACGAAAAATTCGTGTCACAGTTAAATTTCTAATTCGGAAACGGACTCAGCCTATATCGGGGTTGAATAAGACTGACGAATTTTTCGTCTGTTTAAATAAGGTAATTTGGGATTTTATTATTTCATACACACACATATATATATATATATATATATATATATATATATATATATATATATATATATATCACAGAGCAGTGGTTTACAAAAGAAGCTGCTCGAGTGTAACTTACTTCTCACTAATGAAATACGAAAGAAATGAAATATGAGTGGCCTGGCAGGTCTTAGCCGTGAAGTGTTGTATAGCCCCCTTGTGCAGGGGTTAGTCTTGGGACGACGTTCTCGATTCATTCATATGTTGCTCTCTTCTGTCTGTCATCTTCCGGCCGGGTGATCATTAGTTGGTTTGTTCGGAGGTAAAATGAGAACATCAACAAAAGGGATTTTTAAACTTATCTATTTTATTAAACATGTCGACGTGTATATCTTCTAACTAGCCAGTGGGGTCGCTCTGTTACCCCCCACTGGCGAGCAAGTTCCCCGGGACACGAAATAGAGACATCTGATCTCTTCGACGTGTAAAACTTAACTCCTCGAAAGCACTTTCTGACTCTATCATTCCCACGTTCGGCTCAGCCAATCAAATACAACTTCCTTTTTTTTGTCTTACCAGCTGACCCTAAGGTCAGCCTCAGAAGGTCTGAGTTAAAATACACTGTGTGAAACTATTCTTTACAACAAGGAATATAGTCGTCTCAGCAATTTTACACTTTTCTGAGCACTCTCCATGTAACGATAGAGCTGTGGGATTTTTACGATATCTCGTCTGTGAGAGAGGGGTTGCTGGGTGGAAAATAATTTATCACCCACAAGGGCGCAAACACGCTTTTAGTGTATCGAAACTGGAAAGTGAGGTCTGCCCATATATAGCAGTAGTATTTCATTTCCGACCTGATGTGGCTCTCGTAAAAGAAGTGGATAAATAGAGGAGTCAGATACTTACTGGAGTGCTACCATTTTCTCGGGCATCTTTAGCGATTTACGAGTTACACTTGAGGTCTGGGTTAAGTTTTAAGCTCAGCAGTCACTCAAATCCCGCGAACTCCCTCAGACAACATCCATTAATCGTTACTGGTGGTAGTTTAGGGCCCGATCGCCGATGATGGAAAGTAATTAGTTTGGTTTTGGAGTTATTCAATGTAACCAGCCAAATTCCATGCCACTGAGCTGTTAGAGCTCGATATCTATCTATCTATCTATCTATCTATATATATATATATATATATATATATATATATGTATATATATATGTATATGTGTGTGATAAATTTAACAAATTCAGAGCATTATTATTATTATTATTATTATTATTATTATTATTATTATCAAAGCTCTATCATTTTATATCGAGTACTAGAAATAATAAGACTGCCTTAAATGCATTTTCTACCAGAATTACCCTAATCGACTATATATATATATATATATATATATATACCTCATTCTGTTCATGCCTATCAACCTCATTCTGTTTATCTTCCTCCATCTCTCTCTCTCTCTCTCTATATATATATATATATATATATATATATATCTGTTAGGATGGATTTTATAAATCTGATAGATTTTTATCACATTAAACTGTTTTTAGTGGATACTTATATTTTAATGGACGCTCTGTTTGTTTACTATATATTAGAAAATGAGATTAGAATCTTCTCGTTACTTGGAGAGTGCTCAGAAAAGTGTAAAATTGCTCAGACGACTATATTCCTTGTGTTAAAGAATAGTTTCACACTATTTCACATCTCGAGTTTTGGAGGTGCAGGCATATACGTTGTATCATCAGCATCGATATTCACAAATGATCGAAATATACTCGTAGGCTGATCATTTATATTAAGTAAAAAGATGGTTGATCCGAGAAGTGACTCACAGGGGACGCCTGTGTTGATTGCTAGAGCAACAATCCTTTGTGATACACCTTGTCAAATTGAAATACCTAATTCTATGGTCCTTGAGGTGTATTCATTGTCTAGTGTCTCACTGATTCTGTGAGGGATGGTAGTTATGGTATCAGCAGTAGATCGAAACCAGTACTGCTTGTCGCTCAAGATGGTGTTCTTTAGATGCTCAACAACCTTCTTGCTGACTATAGCCTCAAAAAAAATTGCTAATGACACTAGGGATACTGATGGGTCTATACTGAGAGGTGGATAAGCCCCCGCTTGCAAAACGGGTATACACTTGACACCTTCCCCAGATTTGGAAATGATTTCTCCTTCAGAAAGCAGTTAAATAATTTCGCTAGGATCGGGAGAAATTCCTGGTTGATATTCTTTTAGGACAGCCAATGGTATTTTTATCTGGGCCATTGGATTTCTTAGGGTCAAGTATTTTGATAAATCTTAATACTTCCTGGGAGGAAATAAAAAAAAATATTACTGCGATGATCCTCAGTGAGACTGGGTACTTCGGGAGGGGACGTCCTATGTCATTTGACGTTAAGTTAGAGGCAAAAATCGAAACGAAGAGCTCCACCTTATCTAACAAGGAAGATATGATTTCGGAGACATTTATAATAGTAGGTACAGACATATTGCTTCTATTCCGAATTTGATTGAAAGTGTAGTCGTACAGTGTGTTCCTCCCACGTTTCGGCAGACACCGGTAATTACACCGCTCACTCTAGTGGTAGGTTCGAAGCTAGCTTCCAGCTTCCAGACAAAAATAAACAGAGTCGTAACTTAATACGAAACTCTCTAACAGTGCACGTCACCACGGTCCCAATTGCACTGCCAGCCAATGTCCCAGACCGTCTTTATTGACCAAAAACACGGCCAACACACCAATCATCGCCGTTGGCCTCGTTCTCAATCAGAGTCCCCAGCTCGACCAATCAGCATGCAGACCGCCACTAGACAAATCGTGCCAAGCAGCATAAAATTAACAAATGTCGGAGTATGTACTTTTCTCAGACCACACTTGTGAAAGGAAAGGATGCAGTTGATGAAATGACAAACTGTCTAGCTTGGGTTTATGCACATATCCATCACAAAACAGCAGCCGGACAAGCAAAACATCTTGGACGCTTCGACTCCGGTAAGTGCGAATATTTATCGTCACAGAAGGTCATCCAGAATTCTCCGGATCCAATTTGTTTGATGTCCTTGAAGTGTATTTTATGTCTAGTACCTCTTTGATTCTGTAAGTAATGGTAATTAGGACATTAGCAGTGAATTGGATTGATCAAGACCCATATTGCTTGCTGCTCAAGAGGCTGTTCTTATCTAGAGGCTAAACAACCTTCTTTTTTATTAGAATCTCAAAACGTTTGCTAACCACACTGAAGAGGCTGGTGGCTCTATACTGGGGAAAAACCGAACAGACACTTAACATCTTCCATAGACTTGGAACGGATTTCTCCTTCAGAAAGCGGTTAAATAATTTCGCTAGGGTCGGGGATATTCTTAAGGACAACCACTGGAATTTTTCTCAAAACCATTGGCTTTCTTAGGGTCAAGTATTTTGATAAATCTAAATACTTCCCGGGTTGCAATAAAAAATCCTGCAGAGATGATCTTTAGTCATTTAACGTTTCTCAAAGGCAAAGATCAAGGCGAAAAGCTTCCCCTTCTCTGACAAGGACGATATGACTTCGGTCGTATTTATAATAGTCGGTACAGTCGCTTTGTTTCTATTTAGAATTTGATTGTAGGTCTTCCAGGATCCAATTTGTTTGTTGTCCTATAAGAGTACTTGATGTCTAGTACCTCTTTGATTCTGTGAGTAATGGTAATTAGGACATTAGCAGTGAATTGGTCAGATCAAAACCCGTACTGCTTGCCACTCAAGAGGCTTTTCTTATCTAGGTGCTAAACAACCTTCTTTTTTATTAGAACCTCAAAAAAATTTGCTAACCACACTGAAGAGACTGATGGGCTTATACTGAGAAAACCAAGCCGACATTTGACACCTTTCACAGAATTTGATAGTATTCGTCTTCAAGCAGCGGTTAAATAAATGAAGTATTGGACTTTTATTTATTAAACTAAGATA